CCCCTGCACCCCCCCTCCCCCCCTTATGCAAAACGCCAGGTGCTGGAGAACGGCATCAGCGAGAAGGGGGAGGCCGGCCGCACCGGCGACGCGGCGCTGCGGGACCCGCTGCGCACCAAGTACTTCCGCGGCTACATAGACGAGATCTGCAAGTGAGGCGGGCGCGATGGTGTGTCGGCTCGGGGGCTTGTGCTCGCCTTCTTGCTGGGCCACTTGATCGCAAAGCACTGGGCGCGGCTGGCCATGTTGCGATCCCAAGCGGGTCACGCTTGAGGGCCAAAACAGGACCAACACAGTGGCCGCGAGGGGCACTCGCTCAGGAGGCAGCCGCCTACGGGGAAGTCGCGTGCGCTGTGATTGATGTGCCGCGGCGCATGTTGCGGCTTTGTCGCACATGTCGCCCCAGACGTTCACGCCCTCACCCCTGCTGCTGCTCGCACCCTCCTCGCCCCCCCCCCCAGGGCCAAGAGCGCGGGAGTGAAGGTCACCGCTTACTACGCCTGGTCACTGCTGGACAACTGGTGCGCGCCCCGAGGCTCGGCCGCCACCACACGCAGGGCTGGGCAGCATTCCGACGCATAACACTGCAGCCTCGCTCGCAGCTTCTGGCCAAAAAAGCACATAACAAACAGCAGTGTAAGGGCAGCTGCCATTCGCGAATGTCTGCTGCACAGTTACCATACGTAGTGCTAGCTGTTGTCAATCCTTGCTGATGATGCGATGCGCTCATCCCCCCCTCCCCAAAGGGAGTGGAAGGAGGGCTTCTCCACCAAGTTTGGCATCGTCAACGTGGACTTCAAGAACAAGGCCCTGCCCCGCAAGTGAGCGGCGCGCCTGGGAATGGGCGGATTGTATCTCCAACACGCACACGCTCTGGCGTGCGCACACGCGTGGCGCGTTTGGCATCGCGTCATGGTACCTGTCATCGTCCCATGTCAAATCGTGCGTTACGTCTTGAGGACAAATGCGATCCCAGCCCTCCAGCTCAGCCAGCGCCTTCTCTTTCTCAAACTTATCTGCCCGTATGTTTCGTCTCCACAGGCCCAAGGACAGCGCCAAGTGGCTCAAAGAGTACGTCTTTACTAAGAGCACCAAGAAGCTCGGTTGAGGGGCGCGGGGTGCGCATGGAGCCGCCTCTGCTCTGTGCGCTCTGCACTCCGGCCAGCAAGCCGTGAGGGTGGCACAGGCCGAGCCCCGCCCCGCAGCTGCCGCGAGGGAGCGGCGTGTGGGGGGCGCGCAAGGGGAAGGAGCGGCTCTATGCCATTGATTGCTCAGTGTGCGCTAAACGGCCCTGCGCGGCCAGGCCCACCTCGGTTTTTGCTGCACACATGCGCGAGTTGCGACACGGCTTTGGGGGGGCAAGACCTTTGACTGCGCCGCTTCGGCCTGACTGTGGCTGTGGCGTGACGGGCAGGGATGGGGTTCTGGATTGTTTTGTTGTGATTCGGGGCGGTGTGTGTGCGCAGCCGCGCCGCTCCCTCTGTACACGCGTTGCAAAAGCGCGTGCATTGCATGCACTTGCAAGGGCCGGCTGCCGTCGCCGGCCCTGTCGTGGGGGGTGTTGCGGCATTTTTGCAAGCTGGGCTGTTTGTTCCTGATAGCGCTAGCTCCAGTAATAAGGTAGCATCAAGGATTGAGAGGACTCAACATCATGTGCAGGGTCACAGGAGCGGTGCAGCACAGGCTTTGGTGCCCTCTGGATGTTGTTTGCGAGCAAGAGAGTGGATGGAAGCGCCATGCGTGGACTGGACAGGCCAGGGACACGGTTCCATCCGACAAGGCAAGCGTGCGTGTGGTTACTGTGCAGCACATGCTCTCTGTGTCGGTTGGCGGGGTTGGGACACCAGCTGCTCAACAAGTGTCTGCATGTGGCTCCGCGGCCGCTGCGGCAGTGCGGTACGGTATTGCCAGTGTGCAGTCCCCAGAAAGTCCTAGATTGATCCCCGCCTGGTGTGTATTGCACACATTGGCACTCGCAAGCAAGCCATCCATCTTGCGGTTGCTTGCGTTTCTGAGGTCTTGGCAGAGCTGTGCCACGATCATAGGTTCGTTGCAGATCTCGATCACGCACTGCCACGCCTCGGGCACGCACAACCCTGCGCGGGTTGCACATCGAACGACGTACACGATGGCAGATGTATACAAATTACCTCAGCGTTGTGAACGATGGACCAGGACGACCTGGCCAAGCCCGATCCTCGGAATGGCGCCGCCGGTGCAGTTTGCGGCGGAGGCGTCGGGATCGCTCGGCACAATCAGGTGCGACCCTGTGCCCTACAACCCCAGTTCAGGGCTTTGACTTGCATCCAATCCCAGGGAAGCGCGAGGCCCGGCTGTCGCTGCAACATTTCAAACCTACCCCCACCCCGCAGGCCGCGGTCGAACAGGCGCGGCGCGGCGACCACGCCGCCGCCGTCGCCACCCTCACGCGCGCCCTCGAGCGCGCCGCCGCTGCGCGCGTGACGCACGCGCAGCTGCACGTCTGCTACTCCAACCGCGCGGCGTCGCGCCTTGCGCTCGGGGACCATGCCGGCGCGCTGGCAGACGCAGACAAATGCCTCTCTCTCCTGCAGCAGTGGGCGGAGCGCGCCGGCGCCGGCAGCGCGGCGCTGCACCCGTCGTACCCGAAAGCGCAGCTGCGGCGCGGCCAGGCGCTGTCTGCCCTCGGCGCCCACGCGCGCGCCGCCGCCGCTTTCGAATCGGGCCTGGCGGCAGACCCCTCAGATGAGCGCCTCTCGGCCGCCCTCGCCTCCGCGCGGCGCGCGCTCGCCGCCGCCGGCGCCGCGCCCGCGGGCGCCCGCCGCGCGCTGCCTGCGCCACCAGCAGCGCCTCGCATCGGCTACGCGCCGCCGGGCACGCCGCTCGCGCTGCTTCGCGCCCCGGGGGACCGCGAGGGCGACGGCATTGACGATAACGGAGAATGCGGCAGCGGCGCCGCCGCCGCCAGGGACGCGCAGGCATGGCGCCAGAGCCTCGCAGCGCGGCGCCGCGCGTGCGTGGAGGGCGCGGCGCTGCCGTCGGCGCTGCTGAGCGCGCGGCGCGCGGCAGAGGACGCCACCCTATCCGAGGTTTACTCGTACGTTAGGGTCCAGGTCAGCGCGAGGGGGTTCTGGAGGACGGTGGAGCCAAAACCATGTCCCGGCGGAACAGCCGAGCCACCAGCCACTTTTCTGTGGTTCTGGGGGTCGGCTTGCAAACTGCCTGGCGTCGCGGTGGGGTGGGGGCGGCGCGCGGCAGGCATGTTTGTGCAAAAATCGAGGGGGTCCATCCTCAGAGACTCCTGCCCTTGGTATCGGTATTCTCAAATGCATTGTGAAACCCCTCCCTACGTGGCGCAGACAGACATCAGATTGCCGAAGCGGTGGGCGTGCCGCACCCTGCCCGACGGCTACCGGTGGGGACGCTGGGCGGAGGCCGTCGCGGCCGCCCTGCGCCAGCTGGCACAGGCCGTCGTCGCCGCGCCGCGGGTGCTGGTCCTCGGCTGCGGGGGCGGCATGTTGCCGCTCATCGCGCTGCGCGCGGGCGCCGCGCACGTCACCTGCGCGGAGAGGTGGGCTGTCAACCCTTTCGTTTCGGGCCCTTCGCGGGTCCCGCGCCGCGCCGCACTGTGCATCCCGTGCCTGTCTGAAGTATATGCTCGCCCGCGCTCTGGTTGGCGATGTTGGCCGCACGCGTTCTGGCTCAGCCCACGCCGCCGCCACCAGCGCGGCCGTGGCGCCAGCGAGGGCGCCGCGCACCCTGGGATTTGTGCAGCTTGCGTCGCGCACGGGAAGGCCCATGTCCCAAGCACCTGGGGTCTGGCACTGGTCTCAACCTTGTGTGCGCATTCTGGACCGCGCTTTGCTGCAGAAAGTAAAGGGTTCAGGGTCTAGGGTTAAGATAAAGCACAGGGTGCGAGCCATGTGCACACCGCTGCTTGGCTGCAGCACATTCACCTGCGCCTCAACACGGCAGGGCCCTGATCGCCCTCTCCCTCCCCCCCCCCTGCGTTCTTGGTGCACCCCGCAGGTGGCCGCACCTGGCGCGCGCGTGTGGCGACGTGCTCGCCGCGAACGGCGCGCACACCGGCAGCTACAAGGTGGTGTCCTGCCGGCAGTACGACGAGCTGGCGCTGGGGGCCCAGGTGGAAGCTGCCGCGCACCTGCTGGTGGCTGACCTGGTGGATGATGGTGGGCTGGCAGCAATGGCGCTGATCTTGATCGCATGATTTGAAAATCACATTACAGCATGTGATTCACCTACGTTTATGCCGGTGGAAGACATCCGTTATCAAGTATACGTTGCCCTCTCAATGCCTGACCCCAACTTTCTTCCATGCGACTCCTTGCCCCTGCCCCCGCCGCGCCGCCCAACCAACCCCCAGCGGTCTCCCTCGCGCCTCCCTAAGCGCCCGCCCTTCCCCCCTCCCCCTCTCTCCCGCCCTGCCCGCGGCCGAAGCTGTGCCCAAGCTTCCTGCAGATGGCTTTGCACGCACCTGATGGCATCATCCAATCCCCTCCCTTCCCCTCCTCACATCTCCCCCCCCCAAAGGCGTCCTCACCGGCGGCCTGCTGCCGGCCGTGACCCACGCCTTGAACCACCTCATAGACCCCTCCGCCCCCGGGCCCTTAGTCATCCCCGCGGGGCTGGAGGTGTTGGCGCAGCCCGTCTCTGTGTCTGCCGCCCGCTGCCGCGCCGCCGGCGCCGCGGCTTTCGCGGCCGCCCAGCGCTCGTGCTCGCCACCGACGGGCGGCTCCGGATGTGCAGAGGCGGCCGCTCTGGAGGAGCTCACCACAGTGGAATACGGAGGGGCGGAGACAGATCTGCTGGCCAGGGATCTCGATCTGTCTGACCTGGGCGCCTTCCGCTGGGCGCCGTCGCAGGCGCTGCCCGCGCCGCTGCGCCCGTGCGCGCTCACGCCGCTCGCGCCACCAAAGGCCCTGTGGGCGTTCGACCTGATGGCGCCGCCGGAGGGCGGCGCGGTCAAAGAGGTTGACTTTGAGTTTGACCGGGAGGGCGCGGTCAACGCGGTGGCGGTGTGGGCGCGGGTGCGACTGATTGGTGATGTCATCCTGACCACCGGTGGGTCCCCAGGAGGGGGGGGAGCGTGGACCGGAGTGCAGAGGCAAATTTTCTCGGTTTGCGGGAGGAGGTTGGGTTGGGCTCAGCAGCAGAAGAGAGGCAGAAGCTTTGGCTGACCCTGGATCTGGCTGGGCGGAGTTGAGGGGTTTAGGGTCTTGATAAGCGGGGTGCTGAGGTGCGTGATTTTGGGATGAGATTTTACGTTTGGGGTCTTTGGAAGTGCGTCCGGGCTTCTGAAAGCACGGCAAGTCTCCACTGCCCGGTGGCAGCCTGTCGCGTACCCAACCCCCGCCACGTCCCCCAACGCCCGGCACCCCACAGGCTTCGACAGGCCCCTCGCGCTTCCCGGCCCCAGCCCCCCCGCTACCCTCGCCGCCGCGGCCGCCGCCGGCCCGGCGATGACGTTCCGTGCCGCACCGCCCTCTCAGCAGCCGGCGCTAATCTGGCTGGCCGGGGAGCTTCCAGTTTCAGGGGGCGACGTCGTCCCCTTCACCGCATCACACAACACAGTGCGCCTCGGCTTCGACGCCGGACCGTCCGCCGCGTTCCGCCGCCCCGCGCTGGCAACGCCGTCTTTCCCACATGCCCGCCTCGCCGCCGCCGCCGACGGCGCGCGGCTGGAGGCCTTTGGCCGCGCGCTGCGCGCCGCGGTCCGCGCTGCCCAGGCAGCCGCCGCAGCGCAAACAGCGAGCCAACCGGCGGGGGCGGCGGCGCCGGTGGCGGTCATCGATGTCGGGTGCGGGTCGGGGGCGCTGTCGGTCCTTGCCGCAGGCGCAGGGGCCGACCTTATTGCGGGGGTAGAGCTCTATGAGCGCCTCGCAGCCTGCGCACGCCGCGCCCTCGCCGCCGCCGCCGCAACAGCAGCCACAGCAGCACCAGCAGCCGCCGCGCCGCCCGAGGGCGCAGACAGTGACAAGAGCGCGGCCTGGGCCAGCGGCGGCGCCGGCGGCGGCGCGGCCGTGCTACCATCGGAGGGCGCATACAGACACGACAGCGCCACCGGCACCGCCACCGGCGCCGCAACTGGCGGGGGCCTGGGCGCGCCTCGGACGGGCGTCCTGCACGCCGATGCCGCTCTGCTTGAGCTCGCCGACTTCGGCGGCCTGCTCCCGCCCCGCGGTGCTGACGTCATCGTCGCCGATGTGTTTGACCCGACGCTGGTGGGATGGCAGGGCCTGCAGCTGCTGGCGGCGGCCAGGCGCAAATTGCTCGCGCCCGGCGGCCGCATCGTGCCCGCGGGCGCGACGGTGTGGGCGGCAGGCGTGCAGGCGGTCAGCAACGCATATGTGGACGCCAGCGGCGGCGGCGGCATCTTTGGCAGCAGACCAATAAATACCAGCAGCGGCGGCGCCGGCAGCGCCGCTGGCGGTGGTGGGAGCATTGGCGGCAGCGAGTCTGAAGCTGCAAGCAGCGGCGACGGCAGGGGTGGCGGCGAGGCGTGGGACTTTTCAGCGTTGGACCGCTACAGGTGGGGCCCCAAGGCCGAGGGCGTCTGCCTGGGTGACCTGCCACACGTCATGCTGACGTCACCGGTCAAAGTGTTTGACTTCCGGTTCAACGAGCGGGGCAGCCGGGGCGACGCCGCCGCCAGCCGCAGCGGCGGCAACAAAGGGGCGCCAGAGGGGAGGGGGTCGAGCGGGGGGGCGCCGGCGGCGGGGCCATACCCCAAGCGGGCGGCGGTGGCGCTGGAGGCAGCGCGGCCGGGGCTGCTGAACGCGGTGGCGTTTTGGTACGATCTGGACCTCGGAGATGACATCACAGTGACGACAGGTGGGGAAAGCCGTGGCTGGGTGGGCACGTGGGGTTGTCAAATCATTACAATAATGAGCTGACGTCTCAGACCCTGGTAGCATGTGTGGGCTGATATGTGTGTGTGTTCGGGTGCATGCAGGACCGGTCAGCCAAGACATACAGATGCCTTGAAGCTGAACAGGCAGCAACACTTCAGTTGCCATCCCTGCATCCAGCCCGCCCTTCACTGCATCCTGCCAAATTGCGCCCCTGCAGCCCCGCCCGGCATCGGGGCCGGCGGCCGGCGCCTGTCAAGCTCCTCATGCTCCCAGCAGCCCTCCGCCGACGACGACGAGGCCGCCGGCTTCTGCTGCGGCGACAGGGGCGGCGGCAGCAGCCAGGGGCAGGGGCTGCAGTATCTGTCTGCCTGGGTGGCCGTCGAGCCCGGCTGCAAGATAGAGCTGGCGGCGGAGCGCTCGGCGGATGCCATAACATTCACGGTCGGTGACGTCATCATGACGCCGGCTGCTGCGCCAGCTGCTGCGCCTGCTGCTGCGCCAGCTGGCGACGCCGCCGGCGCCGGCGGCGGCGGCGGCGGGGTTGGTAGCAGCAGGGACACAGGCAGCGGAAAACCCGGGCCTGCGGCTGTGGCGGGGCGGGCGTATGCGGGGCTGCAGCCAGGCGAGGCAATGCACGCGCCCCGCGCAGCGTGGCTGGCGGAGGGGGTGGGCATAGAGGACCCCGATGTCTGGGCGGTGAAGCGGTGTAGCGCGGTGCTCGGGGAGTGCCTGGCGCGCGCGCCGGCGATGCGCCACCCGCCGTTATGGCGG